AGCACTTGTTAGCTTGAGAAGCAACGAAAGTGACACACCTGGCTTCACTGTGGCCGGCGAAAAGGCTTTGCCAAGTCCGCCAGAGAGGTGCGGTAGTGTCGATTGGCACCTCGTTACCGTTATGAAAAATACTTGCTAGGTAAGCTCACATGCTCCTGAAATAGATCACAAAAGAGAAGACGATCTGTGCTGTCTTGTTTTGTAAGGGAAAAAGGGCTGGTATGCAAAATCTTGGAGTGCTAGGGCCCAAAAGTGATCAACCAACCAGAAGGGCAGTCTCGTAAATGGCTGTATATTTTCTTGTTCTCGGAACCTCCATCACGTGCTGTCAGGACTCTCCGAGGCCAGCCAGGTATAGCGACGGCATCGCTAGTGATGCGAGCCCCCGCTCCAGTCCCTCTCCCACGCGCACACTCCAACTTTCGTCTTCCTGCACACCCGTCAGCCATGGAAGTCGAAGCTCCACTCCCCTGCACTGAAGCCGGGGGGCGTGCACTGCAGCGCATGTGCGTCCGATCGACGGACCGCTACTTCTTCAAGTATGATACGATTCTTACCTGACAGGTTCTCTGGCGCAACTGTTTTTGCGATTTACAAATACACATGTACACATTAATATGCATCATCCATGCAATTCATGGCTGAGTCATTTATTAGTTAAATTTGCACGAATCTTTGCTTCACGGTATACCTCTCATTTAGAAAATTCACACAATAATTGTGGGTGCCCACAAATCATTAGCAGTATACCTCATCGATTGATTGAAAATGTTTAACAAAATACGACACCAATGAATACTTTCATTTGCTTGACTATTGGTGTATGTATAAATATTTATGCCAGTAGATAAACATACAAAAGGCACTCCTAAAGTAGTTTCAGGGGTGCAAGAGTAGTGTTCAGATGATTAACTTCTAAATTGTTGCCTCGTTGTGGACTTATTATTAGTTCTGTTTGTACGCAAACTATTGGGCATGTTACTTCTTCATCAGGGAAACTGGTCAACATGTGGGGGACGTGTTCATGATGCAAGGCAGTGGCAATGGAGGAAGCGGTAGTAACAGTAGAGACAACCAGTCGTCTGATCATGATGCCGTTGACGTGAAGTCATTCATTGTGGACTCTGGCGCGTCAGTTCATGCAACGGGCGACCCGAACCTCTTCTCTTACTTGGAGGATACCACCACCAACATGCGCCTTTGCACGGCCAACGGGTCGACGATGGACATAACTGGACGGGGGCACCGTGCGGCATCACAGCATCACTCTGCACGGCGTCCTGTTGGTGCCCAGGCTAGCTGTGAACATAGTGTCCGTGTCCAAACTCGGCGAGTTGGACTACACTGTTGAGTTCACACGTACCAATTGTTTCATCCGGGGCGCCGGCACAGGGGACCTTGTCGGGAAGGACACCTCGTCAATGGCCTGTTCGAGCTTGATTTTCTGCAGGCCCCACGCACTTGACTGTGCTAGTTCCGATCGGCGTTTTAAATCATAGTAATATATACGCTGGTGATCCGCCGGCAAGAAAGGTTCATGGTACGGTGTGTGAAGTGTTTGCCACATAAAATGCTAGTTGGTCAACTGTGGCTCCGACTGATTTGCTTGCCACAAATTGTTCTCATCCTATTCACATGTGCTGTGTGTTACCCATCTTGGAGTGGAGCTATTTACTATGTGATTTGTCTTGTGTACTCTTGGCCCTATTCATCAAGCTATATATGATATTAAGGTTCGCCAGATAATTGTAATCCTCCATTTAAAATTATAGATCATATTAGATTTATAGTGAGACAGATTTTCAAACTTTGACAATGATTTAATAATCGAACAGATATTAGCATCCACATGCTCAAATAAATTCACCAATTAGGACATATTTCATACAGAATTTAATAAAGCAAATTTAGTGTATTTTTCACTGAAGCTAGTTAAAGTTTGAGGGAGATTTGACTTAGGACAAAACTAAATTGACCTGTAATTTGGAACAGGAGTAGAAAATTTTTGTCGTTTCCTCTAAATATCCCAAAAATAAATTTAGTTTATCATGTGAGTTACAAGCTGTTACTTTCTATACATGAAATGTTTATATTGATTCGGCTTTTCTACAAAAGGGTACATATGTATCTTTTGTCATGAACCGTATCCGTTAGCTCCAAGATTTTTTCAAGATACCAAGCAATGCTGCAAAACAAGGAGACAAGACAAGTGCTCATGTGGTGGAGTTGGGGTCGGATTCTTCCCGGATGCCATGATATTTGATAGGAGCCACTAACATAACTTCCCTTTGTGGTCAATAACACATGGACCTGATAGGCGTGATGCCACAAGTCAGTGAATTTACATCGGAGAAACTACTTCTGCAGCTTATCGTGGTTTGCCATTTTGTGGGCAGGTATGGGAGGAGGATGAGGGGCACAAAGAGAGTGGTTGCTAGAATATTTGGTCCAAAGGCGTTATGAAGCACATGTCTGACAAGCAAGCAGGCATGTGGTCTTGTACCATCCTATGTCCCTATATAACCCATTTTAAGGCACAGTACCTACAAAGTAAAGTAGTTGGATTTACCATCAAGAAGTCTAATGACATTGTAAAATCCCCTCTCATCATGGTTCTTCCATGATGCTGTTTAGATATATTTGAGATGATTCTTAGTGTTTTATTATGTTTGTTTCTGGCATTAGGCAGTGTGCTCGCACTTGTGAGGCAAATGAGAGTGCACTAATTCATGCGTCGGTATACTTAAATCATGTGCTCCCATAGATAACTGAGGATGTTTGCTACATGTAATATGTCGGCATCAAAATCAAAATTATGGATTTACATTCAAATTCATGTGTTGAAAGAATAATGCAAATAAAAAATCCAAATAAATTCAAAGTTTGGCCATTGATCGATTTAGATTGTGAGTTTCAAACATTTTTTAACTTGGTCTGAATTCGGATACATTCCATGATTATATTATGTATTTCTGTATGGGAAGGTTTAGGCTTATCATTTTGGGGTATTGTCTATATATGGGTACCAATCAGAAAGAAAGTTAATGAGATACTTGCAGTCATCATCAGCAAGGTCTGGGACGGGAATGAGAATAGTTGAGCGGCAGCCAGCCAGCCACAAGCACGGTACACTGGTGGTGCGCAGCACTTGTTAGCTTGAGAAGCAACGAAAGTGACACACCTGGCTTCACTGTGGCCGGCGAAAAGGCTTTGCCAAGTCCGCCAGAGAGGTGCGGTAGTGTCGATTGGCACCTCGTTACCAAGTTATGAAAAATACTTGCTAGGTAAGCTCACATGCTCCTGAAATAGATCACAAAAGAGAAGACGATCTGTGCTGTCTTGTTTTGTAAGGGAAAAAGGGCTGGTATGCAAAATCTTGGAGTGCTAGGGCCCAAAAGTGATCAACCAACCAGAAGGGCAGTCTCGTAAATGGCTGTATATTTTCTTGTTCTCGGAACCTCCATCACGTGCTGTCAGGACTCTCCGAGGCCAGCCAGGTATAGCGACGGCATCGTCTAGTGATGCGAGCCCCCCGTTCCAGTCCCTCTCCCACGCGTACACTCCAACTTTCGTCTTCCTGCACACCCGTCAGCCATGGAAGTCGAAGCTCCACTCCCCTGCACTGAAGCCGGGGGGCGTGCACTGCAGCGCATGTGCGTCCGATCGACGGACCGCTACTTCTTCAAGTATGATACGATTCTTACCTGACAGGTTCTCTGGTGCAACTGTTTTTGCGATTTACAAATACACATGTACACATTAATATGCATCATCCATGCAATTCATGGCTGAGTCATTTATTAGTTAAATTTGCACGAATCTTTGCTTCACGGTATACCTCTCATTTAGAAAATTCACACAATAATTGTGGGTGCCCACAAATCATTAGCAGTATACCTCATCAATTGATTGAAAATGTTTAACAAAATACGACACCAATGAATACTTTCATTTGTGTAACAACCCGGGTTTTTGGAGAAGCCAAAAATACGAATTTTTTAAAAAATTGTCTGCAATGTGTGAAGCATGTAGATGCCAGGTCAAACTAAGAACAATTTATAAATAAATTATTGCATGCATATAGAATTACTTGTAGGAGTTTGCCGGAGTTCCTTTGTGGGTTTAGTGTTTTGTGTCGGAGGGCACAAGTCCGTAGCAAATCCTTTTGATCCCTTCTAGAATATCTTAAGAACCCCTTTTCATCTCTCTCAATTCACCTTCTTGCTTTTGAACCTCATTCGAATCCCTTGATCTAATTCATAAAGTCAATCGACCTTCCTTGTAAATCAATGCCCATCGATGCCAACCCTTGACATGGACCCCACTAACCCATAGATAACCCCTAGAGGACCCCACTAGGAGCCGTACATGTTGGCTTCACGTGTATACCAATTTAGGAGCTTTTGGAAGTAAATATAATAGAGGAATAAATGGAAATAGGAGAAGGAAATAGAAAAGCCAATCTGGCCCAAGCACATGACCAGCCAGCCGGCCGGCCCAGCAAGCCGCGGCCCAGCTCGCCTCCTCGGCCCATGACCACCTCACCTCCCAGCCGGCCTCTTCCACTTGAGCTGGAGGCCCAACCCGTCACCCCATCCTCTTGGCCCGCGCAAGCAGCAGGCCTAGCCTGGCCAGCAGCCGAAGCTGCCCCAACCCCAAGCCCTAGCGGGAGCAGACGCTCCCAGCAGCCGCCGCCGCGCCACAAAGGCAAACCAGGAGCCGCCTCTGCACCAGCGCCCTCACCTGCTCCCTCTCGGCGTCCGTGCTGTTTGATGCGCGCCGCGTGCCCCTTCTCCGCACGGAAGCCGAGGATCGCCGTCCACAGCGCCTGGAGCACTAGCTGGCGCGCTATAAGTACCCCCGACGCCGCCCGCTCTGGAGCTTCCCCCCTGTAGCCGCCGCCGCTCCATCCCTCTCCCTCCCTCCTTGCTCCGCCCTGCCCTGCTGCACAGCCACGCCGGTCAGCCGTCGCTGGCCGTGGCCCTCCACTGCCTCGCCGCATGGCCGCTCCCAGCCGAGCCCCATGGCCAAGTCCGCCAGAGAGGTACTGTAGTGTCAATTGGCACCTCGTTACCGTTATCAGAAATACTTGCTAGGTATGCTCACATGCTCCAGAAATAGATCACAAAAGAGAAGACGATCTGTGCTGTCTTGTTTTGTAAGGGAAAAAGGGCTGGTATGCAAAATCTTGGAGTGCTAGGGCCCAAAAGTGATCAACCAACCAGAAGGACAGTCTCGTAAATGGCTGTATTTTTAAACTTATTGTAAATGGCTGTATATTTTCTTGTTCTCGGAACCTCCGTCACGTACTGTCAGGACTCTCCGAGGCCAGCCAGGTATAGCGACGGCATCGTCTAGTGATGCGAGCCCCCCATTCCAGTCCCTCTCCCACGCGTAAACTCCAACTTTGGTCTTCCTGCACCAAGTTCACTTTTGCCGCCACCAAGTTCCCTCGGCATTGTCTCCATCGAAATAGGTGCCCAGCTGTGAGGCCCGGGTCATGGCTCGGTACGCAACTAATACATGCTTCCTCATCACCTTTTCTTACTGTACTAGATCCGTGTGCATCCATACATATCAGCATATAGACATATACAGCTCCGGTAGGGATCAGAAGATCAGGCTATATCGTCAGTACGTGTATATTATGTATGCGTAGACGAAGCGTGTACAGGTGGTAGAAAAAAGAATCTTAGTACAGTAAGATTAGACCATATGCTCCGTCGTCCGCCGATCCATTTCGTCAGTGTACATGTAGGGATCACAGGCCATATCCTTAGTCCTCACCTCTCCATGCTGTAGAACCAGGGATACTGTTTGTAATTGGTCTGTCGAATAATTGATCCTACAGACAGTGTGTTGAGCTAGAAGTCTGAAACTGAGTGTACTAGCCTTCCTTCATTGCTGCACTTTGTAAACAGTATTTGTAATCTCGGCTATATCAATTGAATTCATGACTGCATATGTACTCTATCAGAAACAAAAGCAAGTAATGCTAACATATATTATAGAAGCATACAAAAGGCACTCCTAAAGTAGTTTCATGGGTGCAAGAGTAGTGTTCGGATGATTAACTTCTAAATTGTTGCCTCGTTGTGGACTTGTTAGTTCTGTTTGTACGCTAACTATTGGGCATGTTACTTCATCAGGGAAACTGGTCAACATGTGGGGGACGTGTTCATGATGCAAGGCAGTGGCAATGGAGGAAGCAGTAGTAATAGTACAGACAACCAGTCGTCTGATCATGATGCCGTTGACGTGAAGTCATTCATTGTGGACTCTGGCACGTCAGTTCATGCCACGGGCGACCTGAACCTCTTCTCTTCCTTGGAGGAGGATACCACCACCTACATGCTCCTTCGCACGGCCAGCGGGGCGACGATGGACATAACTGGACGGGGCACCGTGCGGCATCACAACATCACTCTGCACGGCGTCCTGTTGGTCCCGTGCTACCTGTGAACATAGTGTCCGTGTCCAAACTCGGCGAGTTGGACTACACTGTTGAGTTCACACGTACCAGTTGTTTCATCCCGGACGCCGGCACAGGGGACCTTGTCGGGGAAGGACACCTCGTCAATGGCCTGTTCGAGCTTGATTTTCTGCAGGCCCCACGCACTTATTAGCTTGAGAAGCAACGAAAGTGACACACCTGGCTTCACTGTGGCCGGCAAAAAGGCTTTGCCAAGTCCGCCAGAGAGGTGCTGTAGTGTCGATTGGCTCCTCGTTACCGTTATCAGAAATACTTGCTAGGTATGCTCACATGCTCCAGAAATAGATCACAAAAGAGAAGACGATCTGTGCTGTCTTGTTTTGTAAGGGAAAAAGGGCTGGTATGCAAAATCTTGGAGTGCTAGGGCCCAAAAGTGATCAACCAACCAGAAGGACAGTCTCGTAAATGGCTGTATTTTAAAACTTATTGTAAATGGCTGTATATTTTCTTGTTCTCGGAACCTCCGTCACGTACTGTCCGGACTCTCCGAGGCCAGCCAGGTATAGGGACCGCATCATCTAGTGATGCGAGCCCCCCGTTCCAGTCCCTCTCCCACGCGTACACTCCAACTTTCGTCTTCCTGCACACCCGTCAGCCATGGAAGTCGAAGCTCCACTCCCCTGCACTGAAGCCGGGGGGCGTGCACTGCTGCGCATGTGCGTCCGATCGATGGACCGCTACTTCTTCAAGTATGATACGATTCTTACCTGACAGGTTCTCTTGTGCAACTTTTTTTGCGATTTACAAATACACATGTACACATTAATATGCATCATCCATGCAATTCATGGCTGAGTCATTTATTAGTTAAATTTGCACGAATCTTTGCTTAGTACTACACCTCACAATTTATGATATGAATGATACCATAAGCTTTATGAATAAGCTAAGGGTTTGTTTCACAGTATACCTCTCATTTAGAAAATTCACACAATAATTGTGGGTGCCCACAAATCATTAGCAGTATACCTCATCAATTGATTGAAAATGTTTCACAAAATACGACACCAATGAATATTTTCATTTGGTTGACTATTTGTGTATGTATAAATATTTATGCCAGTAGATAAACATACAAAAGGCACTCCTAAAGTAGTTTCAGGGGTGCAAGAGTAGTGTTCAGATGATTAACTTCTAAATTGTTGCCTCGTTGTGGACTTATTAGTTCTGTTTGTACGCTAACTATTGGGCATGTTACTTCATCAGGGAAACTGGTCAACATGTGGGGGACGTGTTCATGATGCAAGGCAGTGGCAATGGAGGAAGCAGTAGTAATAGTAGAGACAACCAGTCGTCTGATCATGATGCCGTTGACGTGAAGTCATTCATTGTGGACTCTGGCGCGTCAGTTCATGCCACGGGCGACCTGAAGCTCTTCTCTCACTTGGAGGATACCACCACCAACATGCGCCTTTGCACGGCCAGCCGGGCGACGATGGACATAACTGGACGGGGCTCCGTGCAGCATCACAACATCACTCTGCACGGCGTCCTGTTGGTGTCCGGGCTAGCTGTGAACCTCTTCTCTTACTTGGAGGAGGATACCACCACCAACATGCGCATGTGCGGCCGATGGACGGACCGCTACTTCTTCAAGTATGATACGATTCTTACCTGACAGGTTCTCTTGTGCAACTATTTTTGCGATTTACAAATACACATGTACACATTATTATGCATCATCCATGCAATTCATGGCTGAGTCATTTATTAATTAAATTTGCACGAATCTTTGCTTAGTACTACACTTCACAATTTATGATATGAATGATACCATAAGCTTTATGAATAAGCTAAGGGTTTGTTTCACAGTATACCTCTCATTTAGAAAATTCACACAATATTTGTGGGTGCCCACAAATCATTAGCAGTATACCTCATCAATTGATTGAAAATGTTTCACAAAATACGACACCAATGAATATTTTCATTTGGTTGACTATTTGTGTATGTATAAATATTTATGCCAGTAGATAAACATACAAAAGGCACTCCTAAAGTAGTTTCAGGGGTGCAAGAGTAGTGTTCAGATGATTAACTTCTAAATTGTTGCCTCGTTGTGGACTTATTATTAGTTCTGTTTGTACGCAAACTATTGGGCATGTTACTTCTTCATCAGGGAAACTGGTCAACATGTGGGGGACGTGTTCATGATGCAAGGCAGTGGCAATGGAGGAAGCGGTAGTAACAGTAGAGACAACCAGTCGTCTGATCATGATGCCGTTGACGTGAAGTCATTCATTGTGGACTCTGGCGCGTCAGTTCATGCAACGGGCGACCCGAACCTCTTCTCTTACTTGGAGGATACCACCACCAACATGCGCCTTTGCACGGCCAACGGGTCGACGATGGACATAACTGGACGGGGCACCGTGCGGCATCACAACATCACTCGGCACGGCGTTGGGAGAATTGTTGAGCCTAACCAGATCTTCAAGCAAATCAAGACATACGGTGGAGGTTCAGGATCAAAACCAGATGATGACATCGATAAAATGCAACAGCAACAGCAGCATGTTGACAGCTTTGGTACCGGAGTGCATTTGTGGCCATCTGAGGTAGCTCCAACACACTCTGTTGTCAATGAAGATTGTCTCCGTTGGGAAACAATGACTGCTGCTATGAACTGGATGAATATAACAGGCAGTATGAACTGTAACAATAACTCTAGATGCATGACCGTCAGTTGGATGATGTCTCTGCACGAGGAGCGCTCTCTCGAGGACACATATCAGACGTCTCAGCGCACTGATGGTGCTCCAGAGATTCATTTTACTGAACAGAAGGGGGAACCTGAGCTTCATAGGTGCTTCTCTTTATCCCTTCTATTCATCTTTTTGTCTCTTTCTTTAGTGTGCTGATGTCCTCAATTTGTTAGTTTTTCCACTTCGGCAGAAAAAAATCTCAGTGATAACCTACCCACTGCTAACCATATTTGCTAAAACCTGAACCCTTATGGCCAATGTGACCATGACTGATCACAAATATACGACATCTTATACGTTCATGCTGTCATGTTTTTTAAGCTTCCATTTCAAATATTTAATTTTGCTAAAATGTGATAAAGTTTTAAATTGCAAAAACGAGAAAAAAAACAGGTGTAGCTACCTTAAAAAAATATGCTATCGCAATGTTACTTCATTGGATCTTAATTATAAGTTTACAATAGCAGTGGTCAAAAGCTTAAGAATTTTTTTTAATGTCCAAAACATGACTTAGTTTTGTAATTGGTCTATCCCACATCTGATTTGAGATACACAAAATTGAGTTTGTCAGAACTCTCATCTATGGTTTCGGCATTGGTATTGTTTCAGTTTGGAAAAGAACTGCCCTACAGATATAAGATGATCATTTTGAAAAGAATTGCAATACCAGTATAAGTTTGTCCATCCAGATCATAACTTGGGAAACAACTTCTCGGTGGTTCTATCGTATTATCAGTTATATGATATGGAAGGAAGCCCAAAACAAAACTTGATTTAGTTTTAGTGGAAGAGTAGTAATGGTTTATCTTCTTCACATAGAAGATGCGTTAATTTTCTACTATTACAAGGTGTGGCCTTGGCTGCCACAAGAATAACCACATGTTTAGCAAAGAAGACCAAATAAGGAGAAGTACCATATTATATTACTGTCAAATTCTAGAAATATAAGGTCACGCATGTGATCGGAAAAATTGCATGGACGTCGAGTAAAAGTGTAGCAAGCATGAATCAACAGTTACTCTTCTTTCTCAGTTGACTGCAATTGAGCCCAGAGTTAGAGCCAATGCATCCCCAATAATAAGACATGTAGGAACTTTTTGGTTGGCATTTATGAAGAACTTCTTTTCAATTGAGTCATAATGCCAGAAAGGGTGTACCAACAAATTCAACCAAGTTTGTTCTTCCTGCATAACCTAGTAATTAAGCAAATCATCTAACTTAATGGCTGGTATAGTGCAATACCAAAATCAAAATGCACAACACGCCATATAAAATCTGGCATAATGACAACTGAAAAAGAGATTTTGCATGGTTTTATTATGACTACAGAACAGAAGGAATATAATTTACTCTCATTCCAATTCCTACAACCATAATCTAGTTGACATGGTGATTACATGCTGGCTCAAACTTTTCCATCTCCACCCACTGTCGATAGGATGACATTGGTGATCTAATAGGCAGACAACTAAATTCACTGGAACATGCTAATTGCTAAGCATCAGGAGTTTGAATTATAATTCCTACAGTTACCTTATAATCGTCTTCACGTTTCTTTATAATAACCTTTTCGGCCATAACATTTTTTGGAACTGGGGGAACCCCACTTTACATTTAACCGAGGAAAAGTTCAATGTCTGTTACAGAAACAGGATTTGGGCCATAACATGGTTGTTACTGTTCTCAGTATATTCAGTTCCAGCGTCACGGCCCAGGACAGCATCAGCACAGCTCTGAAAAATGCACCAGCTGCTACGGTGACAACATGGATTGTTGCATCAGCCGCACCGCACCACGCAACGGGGAACCGCGCCCTCCTCTCCGACTACACTCCAGAGCACAGTGACATCTTCCTGATGGGTGGAGACGCCGGAGCCATGCCCATGCAGGTCGTCGGACGCGGCGTCGTGGTCACAGAGACCATGGTGCTCCCCGACGTGTGGTACGTCCCTGGGCTCGTGGCCAACCTGGTGTCGGTAAGCCAGCTCGCAGAGCTTGACTACAGTGTGGCATTCGGACGCGGCAAGTGCTACATCAGGAGCACCACAGAGGGCGCCGCCGTTGGCGCAGCCCACGCCGGGGAAGATGGCCTGTTTGCCCTTGATTTCCTCCGAGTTCCACTTGGTCTGTGAAGGCTCGCGGCTTCTTGTGTCGTGGATGTGTGTCGTGTCATTTGAATAAGGGCCACAGCTTCTTTGTGAGCCCGGAGTGGAAGGGAAGCAGAGGCTCCCAGACTCTATGATCATCGGTTTCTTAAATTACATACATCAAGCGTGATTATGCTTTGGCTTGTACTTGTGTGCTTCGTGTAAGGGTTCTACGAATCTGTCTCGTGGCCCAACAAACTATGGAAATTATGTGTTGGATGGTTTGGCTATCGATATATATGTATTGTATTATGGTGTGACTGCATTATTTACTTCTTATTGTTGTTGAAACACAGATTGTCCCAGCTTTCGCAATGCAACAAGATTTCCAGCAGGATCTGAACCACCTTGATCCAAATCTTTTCACTTTGTAAGTCTGACGACGAGGATTCACATCGAATGGAGAACTTTTGATTTGAAAAACAAAAAATCCAAGGAAACTCAATCTCTTCAATTTGGCAGAGGTGTTTTTGTTATGTGGCTGTTAGGGTTGAGGAGGGCGAGTCAAGGGAGCGGCATCGATTGTCGTGCTACAGTACCCGCGGGTACTGTTCACATCAGCTGTTATGTGGCGGCTGGGGCTACGAGGGAGAGAGAAGGCCAGCATGGGGCCTTGCCCACGGCCGAGCAAGAGAAAAAGGCATTTCCTTCTTAATACATCTCTTCTCCTTATATAGAGAGGTTTACTTAACTTAAAAACAAGGTTTACTTCCCTAAGCAAGCAATATTTATCTCTAATTAACCATAACACTGACAAGCCCAATAGATCCGTGACGTACTCTAACACTACACCCCTCCTGGACATGCAGCTCGTTCTCGAGCTACAGCCTAACCAACTTATAATAATGAATCGACTCGGCACTAACCTAGCACCTAAAAACAAGCCTATTATATCTCAGCTTATTTTATTGTTCTCAATAAGAAATTGATATACACTCTTTATTTTTGCTGCCTTTTCAATTGATGGCAGACACCAGCTCATCACATAAGTTGCATGTGGACAACCACCAGAATCCCATGGACACCATCTAGATGAAAGGGGTGCTTGTGCATGGCGACCTAGAAGTGGTCGCAACAACGACCAACGGAGGCGCCCTTGCGGTGGCCGGTGGCAGAATGCGGCGGCGCTAGGCAGTGCGCTCCCACCGGTGACCTCATGCCTTCTCCCCACCAAACGGCTGCTGGTCTGCACCGCACAGGGAAGAGCGGAGGGCTTTTGATGGAGAACGACATGGAGGGAAGCGTCTTCCCAACCGCCGCCGCTGCAGACTTTGAGTTCGCCGCCCATGGGGAAAACAGCATGCTCGCCGCCCGTGGGGGAAACCGTGTGCCGAAGATCTTCGACGCAGCGGACGAGATCGAAGTCCTCCATGCGGTGAAGCGTAATTTGGAGGAGCTACGAAGGGGTGCAGGGCTGAATCAGCTATAGATTGCGCATCTCCCGCACCTGCCGACACGCTAGGAGACGGCACGCAGCAGCCTGCAGCCGCACCGCCGCCGATACATGGTGGGTAAGCATCTTCCCCGTCAGCTCCGTCGAGATGTCCATCGGCTGCCCGATCTGATGCAACTGCTCGCCCTCATCTTGGATCTGTTGGACACCGGTTATAGAGACGGCTGTCATCCCATAACCTGGCCAGCCATAGGGGAACACCTGCGACATGGTGGTAGTGGTGGTGGTCGCCCCCGTTGTCGGGCTTCCACGGCATCCATACGTGCCGAGAGAGACACCAGCTTCAGTTAGATGTCGGATAGCGTCTTGGCGATGGGACCTGGCAGTGGCTTGTCGAAACCTAGCATCTCCGATACTAGATTGTTATGTGGCTGCTAGGGTTGAGGGGGGACTAGTCGAGGGAGCGGCAGCGATTGCCGTGCTACTGTTTGCGGCGGCTGTTATGCGGCGGCTGGGGCTGCGAGGGAGAGAGAAGGCCAGCCGGGGCCTTGTCCATGGCCGAGCAAGAGGGAAGATACTTCCTTCTTAATTCTTGCTTGATTAGATTGATATATCTTCTCTCCTTATATAAAGAGGTCTACTTAACTTACAAGCAAGGCTTACTTGACCCCTAAGCAAGCGACCCTTATCTCTAGTTAACCCTAACACTAACGGGCTATGCCGCCAGCCCAGCCCCAATAGGCCCCTGACTTACTCTAACAGTTTTCTAGGCATAGATCTGTGACAATACCTTCTAATTGGATCATTTCTTACATCTCTTATAAAAAATTGTTGCTAACCCATTCCGAGGAACATGAGGAATAATACGCTCTCCATGCTTCAAAGAGGAATCTTGTCTCTGTAAGTCCACTGATTTGAATTCATATTCAACGGGATGGAACTTTTGGTTTGAAAAAAAAATGCAGAAACTCAGTCATTTGATTGGGCTGGGGCATTTTATCTTGCGCACACACATATTGGATGAATGCAAGCTTGGAAGCTTGACTATACATCCCAATCAATTCATTTGTAGCACCTCGTATCGAAAATATTGATAGCCCAATACGAAGAACATGAGGAGAAAATGGTATTGATGCACTGAAACAGTTGTAGTTAGCACATTTTCATGACAGTTCGGTATTTCTTTGTTTCCCATGCTCTCACACAAGAACGATACCATATAAAAATCATCTCATCATAGGACTAATGGAAAGCTCATAAGCTCTATCTTTATCTCTCGACATATGTGCTTTCTTTCTATTTCTGACAATATAATAGACGTACTACTATAGAATCTAAACCATAATATTGAAGTGAGAAATTGGAGGAAACCAGTATACAAATGTGATAAGCAAAGCGAGAAATTTCCATGTCAGTGCTGTTGTCGGTGATGGTGGATAGATGTGGTTGTTGCATATCAACGGGAGGTGTGAATGAGACGAAGCCACGCATGGTGTGATGATCAAGAGGACGAGATGTCCGACAACTATAGTCTTAGTTCATTGACCTTGCATTGCGAAACAAGCATCTTGTATTTGTGCAAAATAGCAATATGACTCCCATTTAACAATGAACTT